ACAAGAGGTGAGTCTATATATAGAGGCAAGAGAGAGAGAGAGAGAGAGAGAGAGAGAGAGAGAGAGAGAGAGAGAGAGAGAATGAGAAAAAGCGTGTATGCGGCCCTGTGGGCGCCCCGCAGTCGCTGCACCGTCAAATAAGTCTGCACTTCTCGCTAAAAGCTTCGATTTCGAGCGTCTGTGTTCTCTCGAACGCTCGTTCTTTCCTCTGGGTTCTTCGCGTTTGAAGCGCTTGCCCCTCCCTCATTTCACAAGCAGCATCTTTTTTTATTTTTAGTTGATGATATCCGTGATATTCAATAAAACCGTTAATACCTAAGTCTTTTATACAGTGGTTCGATAACCAGCTAAAAGTTGTGATTATATTTTAATTATTCCTATCCTTTAGGATTCTTTAGGAGTATAGGGATCAGGCAGGTATGCAAATGAAACAGAGAACACGGTTTCCTTTGATATTAATTTTATACAAAATGTCATCGAGTGTTTTTAAATCACGAAACACTTATGAAGGTATTAGAAATCCTTGCTACAGTTGATCATTAACAATATTCGTTACATAAACGAAGCTACAACCGGCTATGAAAGCTTGAACATTCTGTTGGAGTAAAGTAAAAAATGTTTATATTGTTACTTGTCAAACATCCTGTTTATAATAATCGGTTAAAGAATAGAGCGTAAGAAGCCACGGATTTAGGGTCCATTGACCGATCCTCTTAGCCGGTCGGTTTTTGCAGACTCTTCCTATGACGTCTCTTTCCTCTCTAAATCTTTCCTCGTTTCGATTCTTCGAGCTACTTAGCCTCTCGATTCGCCCCTTTCCTCTTTGCTGATTCGATCTTCGCTTCGTGGAACTCGTACGTGCACCTTTCATCATTCCACGTTCTCCAACGTTTCGCTTCCTCATAATTCGCATAAGAGTTTTCGTTAATTACATTCCAAATAGGTCAAACTCGAGACCATACATCGATATGACAATAGACGATTAGATTTTTATGATTCCTTAAAGGAGATTCGTTTATTTAGAACTTCAAAATAAAAACAATTTTGAATTTATTTCAAGTTTCAATTAAAGATAGCAATGTCCACGCTCTTTAAAGAGTAATTAATTGTTAAGTACTATCCCTCAATTCGCCATCCGTGACGGAATGATTCAATTGAATCAATTAGCCGATTAATGGGTTTATCAACTTCTACTGTTTCTTCGTTTCTTTCTAACTCTGCTCTTTCTATACATGGTTCTTCTCTTTATTACTAATTAAGGATTAATAGAATCTAGTTAATATCATGCTCGATTTAGTTTTCTTTTTCTGTTAAATTAAGTTTGTTAATATCTTAGAATTAAATTAGGGACGAAAAATGGTGCTTAATATTTTAGACATTCATTTGAAGTATCCTGGAGTCTCCTTCGACGTGTCCCGACTTCGTTGCCGAACCATGCCAATTCCACGACGTGCTAAAGTTAGCGTATAGTCAGTGCGGAGCCAAGTGTGAGACCCGAGAAGAGAGAAGAGAGGAAAACGTATAAAGAAGAGAAAGAGAAGCGTGGATGGTGGACAGGATGGAAATAGAAAAAAGAAAGAATGAGTCGATGAAAAATGGAAGAAAGGGGAAGGAACATGAAAGGTGTAAAGTTAACGAAAGAAAATGAAGCAAAGGAGGGAGAAAAGGAAGTAAATAAAGAGAAAATGTGGTCCTTTTGGAAAAAAATAAGTAGAAGGAAGATAGGAAAAGCGAGAACAGCTTGTGGGTGGAAGATGCTCAAGACAGTATTTATCGTGGCCAAAGTAATGAGCCACTCGGAGTATTAATAACCTGACCGCGGTGTAACGTTAGAGGTTTAGAATAAACACAGGAACGCGCTTCAATTAGAGGTCTGTAAACGTCTTCCGTTTCTCTGATCACGATATTTTCCTTCTGAAACATTCTGGTACTTGTTACGCTAATTATAATTTAAAGCACGTTGGACAATCTTGTATTAAAACATTGTTGTAGCCGACGATGGTAGAACTTTTGTTTTATCATGATTTTCTTTTAGGAAGGATATTTAAAAAAAGAGAAACAGGATGTCATGGTGGTTGAGTTGCGTTTACCACGACTGAGCTTGGCTCTTTTTAAACTGGAATCTCATTCAAGTTCCACGGATGGCTAAACTAAGTATTTATCAACGCAACACATTCCCTACGTTATAAAAATCTAACATCTATCACCGGAAACAATCCAGGAACATTGACTTTTGGTAGAACCGTTCGTAGAACTTCTTTTTCTGGTGAATGTTGTTCTGCTGCCGTTCTGAATTATTTTATTGAATCTCAGCTAATCGTCTTTCCTGATAGGCTTTAAGTAGCGCTAGGTTTCCTTCGTTTCCGAAGAAACGTAACTACCTGTTCTTCCGTTCGAATCAACTCTCAGACGATCATTGGGATCATCGGTACCACAAGACAAGAACATTACGTTGAATACCATCAACGTGCTAAACTGTGCACGCCACTGATAGTTCCTTCAGTCTGTTGCGTTTGGATTTGTATATGAGAACCCACGGAAGACGCCCTGGTCCATGGAGGTAAGGATTTGCTCAGGTACAGGAGTCAGTCGTGGTCTCTCAGCAGTAAATGCTCTATCGAAGTATTTAGTATCCAAAGTATGATCCAGGGCTGGTTTGAAAGGTGGTTCCAGTTGCCTCCTTTCTAATCTATCCCATGGTAATGACTGGAAAAAAGAATATATTAATTACTTATTGGATCAAAATTTGTAACAGACGTATTAATTATACAGAATGGTCTTCAGCCTTCGTTGATAGAACAGTTTGCAGATTGATTTTATGGAATTAATTACTTGGAAGAAAGAGTGCAACGCGATTTCATGACCAGGCAGCCTCTTTCCAGCATCCTTTTCCAGAAGTGCTATCAATACGTCGCTAGAATCTTGGCTCAGGTAACGTGGTATGAACGGTCTTTCGTTGCATATACTCCAAAATAACTCGTCCTCATCACACCCGGAGAATGGTGACTGTCCCGTGAGCATCTCGTACAGAAGTACGCCGTACGACCACCAGTCCACCGCCTGATTGTATTTTAGTCCCTTTATGATCTGCAATGCGGAAACAGCAGGTAAATTAACTGAGACTAATAAATTGCTTAATTTTGGAACTTGGATCTCAAAAGTAATTGAGAAGATATGTCCCTTTAGAGAAAGTATATTTTATTACATCCATAATCACTTTTTACCTCGGGAGCCATATAATCAGGCGTGCCACAGAAGGTGTCGGCGGTTCTGTCGAGGAAAATTTGCAGCTTGCACATTCCAAAATCAGCTATCCTAATGTGTCCCTCGAAATCTAGCAGTACATTATCCAATTTCAAATCTCTATACACTATTCCCTTTTTATGCAAGAAATTTAAGCCAGACCAGATTTCTGCCGCATAGAACCGAGCTCTTGGTTCCGGGAAACGACCTGACTTTTGAATGTGGAACATCAAGTCGCCGCCGTTCAGATATTCCATAACAAAAAACAAGTGGGAGTCTGTCTGGAAGGTGCAAAATAGGTGACAAAGATACGGGTGCCTCGTGGCTAGAGTCAAGACTTTCCTCTCAATTAGGGTACATTCTACATCGTCATCTTCGAGAACTACATCCTTCTTCAAGCATTTCACTGCGTATACACATTCAGTGCCACGGAGTTCAGCTAATAACACCTTGCCAAAGCTGCCTTTTCCTAGGACCTGGAAAAAAGTAACGGAGATCAAAATTTCCGAGAAAATCATACCAAATTGATGACAGTAGTTAATTGATTAATTAAAAATTTATTTATTGAAAATTAGATTTAATGGACCTAGATTTTAATTTCTTTATGTATTTTAAAGTTTAACAAGTATAAACCTATTACCAAGGAAGACCTAACTTTGGGCTAAGCATTTGCCGGAATTGTTTTAAAATGGCATCAAACAATCCTGAAAAGTGAGGCAAGGTTTTGTTACTAGATAGAAATTCAGGTCTGACAGAGTAAAAATGGCACACGGTGAAAAGTTCACGAGTCTAAAGCGAGAGTAACGCACGTGAGAGTACCTCTGACTCGATAAAAATAATACGTTGCGTGTTGCTAATTCAGGTGAGTCTATTTGCGCGTGGGTCCTCCGAAATATTGAGTTCGTTTTAAACATTCTCTCCTATAAACAAGCTCATTGACAAATGTCGACCGAGTCCCAGAAAAACTAAAATTTTAGACATGGAATTGCGAACCATTTACTTTTGACAAGACAATGTAGTGTCTGGAATTATAACCACATTGAATCGATCACAAATTCGAAGATCGAACGTTGCTACCTCCTCATCGGGATCACTTTGGAAGAAACCTTGTGAGTCAAGTTGGGTTCACGTGACGCAGAAATACACGTGATTCAGATTGGCTTTCAACTTGGTGAGCCAAGGCAACTCATAAATTTTCGGTAACTATATCTATAGGCAGTCAGGAAGAATCCATATAAAATTCATCGAATAAGAAATACAAAAATTCTCAAAAGTACTTCAACTAATTCAATTTTTTAATAATAAATACATAAGAACGTTTTACTTTCCATGTGATTCTATGCAAATGTTTGAAACTTAAACAGTTTTGTTTATTTTAGATTTATTTATGTGGAAGATTTCGAAAGTTACCGATGAAGAAGAAAAATTATCGTTCTTGCTCTTGACAGGAGGAAGATAATCTAATGCAAAAGAAGTTTTCATTTTCATTTTGCGGTGGATAATTTAAGCGTTTCGTCAGCGAAATTTTCAACCGAGACCTTGGCAGCGGCTTGAAAGTTACACGTGTCGTGGTAAATACGTTCGTTGTGTCTAGAAATCGTTAACAACTATTTGCAGTGACTATTAAACTTACTTTCAGGAAGTTAAAATCTGTCACCGCATATTTCTTGAACCTGGGTAGGTTAGTGGCCGGTGGTGTAATCCTTCCACTAGGGAAATGATCTGAAGAATCCGAGTTCCTTTGCGTGTCCGACGACTGTGACGGTGCTATGAAATAAAAATAGCAGGTACATGGATCAGTACACACTGATTGAATCAGTTAAAAACTCTAATGTCATAGTTAGTAATCTTAATTTTATAAGTACAACGTAACTGATTATAGAATACTTGCAGTGGTTTCTCTTTAAAGTCTCACGCCGTAAAAATTTCCTTTTGGAATGTGGAAGATACTTACTAACGAATGGAGAGGAACAAGTAATTATTAGACAAGATTCTCTATTTGTAGGAAGAGAATAATTATGTTGAACTCTCTTCCGGGGTCTCTTCGAGCCAAAGAATGTCTGGTTCCTCGAGTATTCGTCAAATCTCGATTAATAAGCGCATTAATTGTCGAACCAACTCTGGCACGTAAACATACTGAATGTTGGCCGACTTGCATTTCGCGAAAATAGAGCTGACTGTCTTATGACGCTAAGAGGACTTGAAGAACACACCGTAAATGATCGATTAGGAGACAGGTAGGAGGATTATATCTCGTATAAGTACCAGAGACCGATTTAACGATGATATAATTTCATTTCGGGGAGGAATCGTGGTATAATATACTAAACCATTTAATAGCCAGAACGAATGGATTTATGATACCCACAAAGAATAATAGCAGACTTCTAGATGAATATACTCCCTAGGTCAGTCCAAAAAGTGAAAGGTTGTTGGGAAAAATTGAACAAATTGCTTAAAAAACATAAAATTTTGAGAAACTTGATTTCTTCTTTGATCTTTATTCTCTGCGAATTTTAGTAACTCACCTCTTCTGAGCGCCTGCAAAGCTTCCGCCACAAGTTTTTGGTTCAATCCACAAAGATTTCCGGTCAGTTTCTCACATTTTTTGTGACAGGCCATGTCGCAATCTATTTTTAAACGTTCTGGATCTTATTTGTTTGATTTTGTATCAAATACCTTTGATCCACCTTGTTATTTTGTAATGAAAAACGCGAATTTAATTTGAGAACAGTGTTCCCGCGAAGCTCATTCTCTACTGATACCCAATCAAATCATCATCATCCATCTAAATTTATCTCGAAACTCATGTTTGCAGCATCAACTAAACGCGACTACATTATGATGCCTAGAATATTGTTATGAAACAGCGCCATGTGTTATAAATAGGAACATAATACGTACAAGTGTGTAAATCGATTATAAATCTACATACAAAACGACAATTAGCCATTTCTAATTAATTAATTGTATTTGCGTCTAGATTTAAGTCTAACAATTAATTGTGTGTATGTTCATTAGGATATTGGAGCAGAGAAGAATGATAGGAATTCATTTGTACGATTACGTTACTTCCTGTAAACAAACTGACGAATAGTGTCATTGACTCTGTGACAACGATCTTATATAATACCGAAGAACTGGCTTCACATTTGCAACAGGAGCACGTGATGCTGTTGGATCAGAGAATGCGTCTGGATGTGGAACAATTACGTAACAGCTGATCGTTTTCTGATACTCGAACAGCCAGATCGCAAGACTTTCTTCTAAGAAATCCGTGCAAAAATAGCTCATCCACGGAAAGTTAAATCATGTATTAGTTACTAAAAGCGCAAAAGTAAACAGTAAAAGCTGTTAGCTACAAATTAGCAAACTGCCAAATTCTCAAACAACCAACATTATTCGTAATTAAAATCCAACAATATCCACCATTACAAAGCCACCGTTAGTATATTGAAATCAGCATATATCTGAACATAAACACTATCCACACTCAGAATGGGCGGTAAATTTCCTCGAATTTGTTCCAAACTTCCTGGCAGTTTGGTTAAACAGAATGCTGGGATAAGGCAAACGTAAAAGAAAAGAAAGGAAAGAAAAAAAGAAAAGAAAGAAAAAAGAAGAAATGGAGTTACGCAATCCGTGTACACTAACAGAACAAACGATCCAAAAATACTATAGGATAAGTACTGGATATCCTTGGCGAACCATCGAAGCCAGAATCGTTGCTCCTGGTCGAGTTCATCCTCTTGTGTTCTGGGTCATCATCAAGCTCCGTACACGTGGATCCGCTGCTCTCTGTAGTTGCTGTACTAGTAGTACTTCCGGTGCTGTCACTGCTCATGGATGCTGTTCTAGAGTGATGTTTTTTCCTTTTGACCTTGGCTCGACGAACTTTGGATAAGTCTCTAGGTGTTGCAGTTAGTAATGCTGATGGAGTCGTGTAGAACATTCTGATTAAGTCCATGGGACGCTGAGTAGGCGTATTTTTGGGGCTGGTTCTAGAGGTAGTTTTTGTTTCCGGAGGCTTCAGAACCTCCTGTTTCTTGGAGGAATTCTTCTTAGATGATTTACTATCTTTATTACTTTCCTTCTTAGTAGAGCTTTTCTTTGTCGTAGAAGCTTTCTTTTTTCTAACGATCTTCTTCTTCTTAGAGGATTCTGGGCTGTTTTCTGGACTACAGGTCACACTGGCTTCTTTGGAAGGTACTGGGGTGATGTCTTTCTCAGCTGCTTCGACGTTGGAAAGATCACTGTGATTATTCCACTTCGAGATCTTCGATAATCCAATATCCGACCACTCGTTGGTGGGTGTTTTAGGTTCGTCCTCTTCCTCTAGGATCTGAGAATCGGATGCGGTCGGTGTAGGCGTCACCACAATGTTTATTATCGGCACAGGAATCTCTGAGACTGGCGTAGAGACTTCGGAAGCTGGAACAGAAGTATCTGGAGTACTGGTCACAGACTTGGAAGAAATAGTCGATGTTGAAGAGTCTTCCCTCTTCAAAGGAGCCTTCTTCACGGTCGAGTATGCATCTTTATAGACCTGGTCAATGTTTATGGATAAGTCCTTCTTCTTCTTTAACCTCTTTTTCAGATTAGGATTATCTTGATCAGGCTCAGATTTCTTTACAGTAGCTGCAGCCGTATCAAAGCTGGGTATTGTGTGCTCAGTCTGGAAATTGGACAACTTTTCCTCGGTCTTTCTCTCCTCCTCGATTACGGGGATATTACTGAGCTCGGCCGGCGGAGTGGCGACGCTTATTTTAGGATCAGTCTCTTTTTTCTTGTCCAGCTGCTCGACGCCGAGGTCCTCGACCGCCTGACCTGGCTCCGAGCTCTTGGAATCAGCGAAATTAAATCCCTTGTTAGCCGATTTTGTCACTTTAGGACTTTCTGGTCCCTTGATCTCGCTCCAGAAATCTATAGATTCGGTGGATGTACTTTTCGATAAGCTTCCAATTTCTCCATTTATTGATGATTTTTCCGGAGGTATTTTATTTTTCAAGTTATCATCCGCAGATATAGATTGTTTCAAAGCCTTTGGATCTATCGACTGTTTGGTTAAAGCAGGCTTCGCATCCATACTGATGCTTCTGTCTAAAGCAACTGTGCCCTCAGCAGGGGTATTGGCTTTGGAAAATTTATTTCTCCACGGGATCTTGGACTCTTTGTTTGCGTGCTCCTCAGTCTTCGTTGTATTCTGCAAATTGGTTTTCAGTGCAGCTTTGTTCTCGACCTTATCGCTTTCAGTCTTCGTTTCTATCTTAAAGGGCGATCTCGAAACTTCCTCATCGCCGTCTTTCAACATTTTCCTAACACGCGGGACCTTCACCTTGTTATCCTTGCCATCCTCTATCACTGACTTTCCTTTTTCCTGATCAACGTTTCCGAATTCTTCTACCTTCTGCGTATCACCCTTGGGATCTTCTAACAAGGTCGTCTTGGTCACGCGCTTGTTGCTTGCGTCATCAAGGGAAGTGGAAGATTTTATGAACGTATTATCTTTCTTTAGGGATTCCCCAGGATGATCTACATTCGCTGCCTTATTAGAGACACCAACTGTGGAGGCGTCCTCCAAGGTCACGGCTTTGTTCACCTTCTTTTCTGACAACGGAGATACAACGTCCTCGTCACGCTCGACTTTTATCGGCTTTGCCAGGTACTGCGGTTCTCGTAACGGACGCTTTGGCGCTTCTACGGCATTATTTTCATCCGTATTAATTTTAGACACTTTTGGCAGCCTGTCCGCGACCGATGGAAGCGCTCCACTGGCGCTGCTCTCGCTCACCAACGGGTCGACACTTAGCGTCACGTTCTTCTCTTCAACCCCTGTCGTCATGGACTCCTTAACAGCTTTCTTGAACCCCAAGTGTTCTTTCTTCGGTACAGAGATGTTTGGTGACTCAGGAAATTCTGGGACCTTTTTATTTATCGCTTTTGATTTTTTCTGCTTGTATATCTCAGTAGGTTCCTGTGATATTTCTTTCTTTAGCTTTTTATCCTTGAGGGGAGTCTTCAGGTTAGTATCCTCAAACTCTTCTTTAATCTCCGTGGATAATATTTGATTAGATTTTTTCTCTTTAGGGGGCTCTTGTGTTTCTGGCTTTACACTATCGACGAAGGTATCTAACTTCTTGAGGGGGTCACTCTTCGAGGACTCTGGAGGTGTCTTGACCGTGACATACACGCTGTTTCTTGAGGTATCCTTTATATAGGGCTTTTTCGCAGGTAACACGACTTCTGTCTCAGATTCTTCTTCAACAACATGCCTATCATTTTTCCGTGTGGGCATCTTTTTGGGAATCGGGATCCTAACACTCTCTCTGAATTGTTCTACCGTCCCAGTGTTTACCCAGATGGTAGAAAAGTCTCCGACGCTATTACTGGCTTCAACTTTGAACATCTGAGATCTCGATTGCTTCCGACCTTTCTCTTCATCAGTTTCACTTGTTTGAACATCTGCAGACATCTCACTGGAGGAACTAGTACGTTCCCTTAAATTATCACCTGTATCAGGCGGTGATGGTTTCTCGGTAGTTTTCTTTTTCTTCTTTACCTTTTTCAAAGTCTTCCTAATCTTTTGCGCTGCAGCTTCTTCATCGTCCTGCGACATAGTGTCTCCATCTGTGCTCCTGAAGAAGCTGGGTACAGTTCTTGGCCCACCAGGTGTTCCTTTCTTAATTAAAGTTCCTCTGCGGACTGCATTTTCAATCTCAGCTTGCTCCTCGGCAACTAGAGAGTCGAGTACCTTTGCTTGGACTTGAGCGTAAGCCACTTCTCTTTCTATCTGTTCAGGATCCAACTGAATATCCGCAGAAGATCTTCGTCTTGTAAATCTTCTAGTAATCTTATTTTTTATCTGTTGCAGATCTTGGTCTTCTTCTTCTCTGTTCAAACTGATCTGATGGTATAGTTGCACACGTTTCTCTTCCTCCTCTAATTTTTTGTCCTTGATTAAGAACTTTTCTACCAATAATTCGCCTATAGATTTCTCGTGTCTTTCATTATGTTGTCGCAAAGCAGGATTATCTTTCAATGCCTGACTCCTGATTTTGATAGTGGGCCTATCTCGACGTAGACGATTTCTTTGTTGATTCTTGTCCTGAGGCAGAATCCTGGGCGTCGAGACGTCTATATCGGCGGTGTCAATCACGCGTCTGGGCCGGCTGGGTACCGACACAGGGGAGTAGCGACGCAGGGTGGACAGCGGGGACTCGGAGATAGTCGACAGGTGCGGCGAGTATCGGGACAGCGACGAGTGGAGCGGTCTATGCGAATAACTTTATGAAATTCTGATTGCTAGACAACGTGGAGGATTCTCTGATTTCTTTCTCTAATAATATTCATAAGATTTATGGACTTCAAGAAATTTAAATTTAGAACGAGAAGACCCAGAACGTAATGCACTCTTGTTTGAAAGTAAGTGGAACATAAAAAAAGTATTTTGAGCTGCCAAAAATAATTTCGGCCGTTGGAAAAGATAAATAAAATTACCAAATCATTGTTTTGTTAGTTGCATAACACCTAGAGGAGTCAGCAATTTTTTCGCAGCATCATTGCATCGAACTCGACCTGATAAGCACCCGATTGCATCGTTTCAATGCCAGAGTTTTGTTCTCGTGATGCATTACGTTGCTGGGAAGGAAAGTGCATCGCGAACACTTGTTACACACGTTGACTCTCAATTTGGCTCGGCCATGGTCACGAATGATTGACAGACTTCGATTCATGAATCGATCGTGCACACCTCACTGGTTGCATGATGACAAACAAGTGGTAATTGAGCACACGTGTTTCTAATGGCCGATATCAGTCAAGGTACATAATTATAATTTCTTATTGCGCCTTCAAATGGCCATTTTTTACAAAATCTACAATCATTTTCATTATTATCATGTTTCGTTTAATAAAAATAATTTTCTTTTTAAAATCGTTTTAAGGATACTATTATTAAAGGTATTATATATAATATATAAATTGTCTTACATTTTGAATATATCAATTTAAGTATCATTTTATACTTTATATCATTTATAAATGTTAATAGTAATCTTTTTTATATTACAGGAACCACAACGTAATTTCAGGTTCCACTAGAGGATTTTTTGGCAGTGCAATGAGTACGGCAGACTTTTATCATGCAGAAACTACACGTCCAGACATCTGGCTATTTTTAAATGCTGATATTCTCGATGATTCCGCCACTGTTCCTGATCCTTCCAATTTATTTCAAACAGCAGACTGATCAATTAATCGTCACTTTACGTTTTGCTAATAAGTTTGTGGTTTGACGGATTGTGTGTCATATCCATTGCTTGCCAAAATTCGGAATAACATTCTACTAAAGCTATTCTAATTACAGAGAATCGTGTGCGTACAATTCCACGCTCGTTGCATCAGTGTGTCTCAATCTGTGACATTTTCTTTTTCCACTTTGGATAAACCAAAGGGAAACTAGGAGATGCGTCTGCTATTTTGGTCGACATGCTTCTTTGTTTCTCCTCCGATGTCGCGTTCACGTAACTGTCCACCAGAGGAGCCTCCACGAAGACGAACGTCACTCCGCGACCAAGAATAATGGTCTGCGAAGGAAAAGCGAGGAAAGAAAGCGAAGAAAGGGGTCGCTTCTTGGAATGCTATTTTCGTGTGGACCATTTGGATGGACAGGGGACCAGGGGGGAGAAAGAATCGCAGAATGTACCTACCAGAGGACGCTGCAAAATGACTAGTATTTCGAAAAAGATTGTACTTTGTCCGAGAAAAAGAGAGCATCTGTCTAACTGTTGTGTAAGAAAGTCAGACGTCCAATAGGAAGTTCTTAGGTTTAACAAATGTAGTAATAGAAAATGATAGCTGTCATGTCGAAATACAAAAAATTTTTTTTGTTATGAGGAACATAAGTTATTAAGAGGAAATTGAGAATGTGATACAGGACAAATGTAAACAGAAGTGGTCACTAAGATGTAACATAATTTAAAAAGAAAAAAATCATCTACCTAATATATCAAAAAAATTGGTTACACTGTGTTAAAAAAAAAAGACAATATTAAGAAAAAAAAACTGTTTTACATTGAAACCACAAAAAGTAGTTCTGACGAGAAAAAAATTACCGAAAACTGACTAAGGCATTTTTTGCAAAAAAAGCTAAAGAAAAGAAAGAAAGAATATATCGAGTATATCAGCAGGATTAACAGGAGAGGGAGACATTTGGAAAGAAGAGAAGCTTACCGTGGTGCACCAGTCATCAGTGAACTGTGATTAGAGAATGGTCCTCCATAGTAATAAGGTAAACTTTCGCCGTAGTAAGACATCGTGGCAAATGTTATCCAACGGATTCACGTGTACAGAGTTGCTGAAGGACTCGTATTTGAAGAGGGAACACAAACGGGAGGCACGAGCAGTGGACACGAGCGGTT